AGATTGGGAAGATCTTGAGATGTTGGAAGGTTTGGAAAGAGAGCTCACACCAAGGGAGAAAACATATCTAGATGAGCTTCATGAGCGAAGGAATATAGAAGAATACGAGCGACAACTCGTACAAGCCCGAGAAGCAATGGTGATCGAGTCTCATGACCATGAAGATGAAGGAGCGCTGAATTTTCTAATCCTTGAGGACAAGGAAAGTCTCGAAGAGGAGGGGAATGATACGGAAGTGGTTATTAACCCCAGTGAGTCTGACGATGATGATGGCGATAATCTAGATATTTGGCTAGAGAATATGTTGGGAGAGCCATCTAGTCCTATTTACCGGCCATCATGTGTGAGGGATTGGCCGAAAGGATGTGCTCCACGAGCTAAGCTAAAGCCTAAAAGGCGCAAGACCAAACGAGCTCGAAGGAAACACAAGGCAAAAGCATAAGAAGAGAAGTGTTGGTGTAAGCCGTGTGCGAGAAAGGGACGAGTTCGCAAGATGGAGGCTCGAAGGGGAGGTAAGAGTAGAATGGAGGATGGTTGGATTTGGCGAGCTGGTGATTGTATTGGGTTGGATGGTTGGGACCCATGGCTGTCGGGAGAGCTAAAAGAATCGGGCAAGCACTTGAGGTCGGTTGGCGATGAGAGTGCGAGCACGGGCGAAGAACACGCATCGTGCCGTGATGCGCGCAAAGGGTCGAAGGGTCGAGACGGTGCACGGGCGAGCGACGTCGAGAAGCTGGATGCGAGCAACGCACGATGGTGCGCATCGGAAGGGTCAGCAACGGAGGTTAGCGGCACGCAGATGGCATCGGGCGTACGCAGGTGCGTGGTAGGCGATCAGGCCACGGGGATGGCTGGGACGCGCAGTGCAGCGGGTGCACGGGGATGCACGATAGAGGATTGGAGTGCGGGCGGTAGCCGGGACGCGCGGGCATCACGCGGAGAACGGATGAGCCGCGAAGGGCGCGCAAGTGAGCAGCACGCAGGCACGCGACACAACGCGCGCGAGGAGATCGGCGAGGTTAGGGCGTGCGCGATGGCGCGCAAGTGGGATGACGCGGACAGAGACCTACGCGGGGAAGGATTAGGCGACGCACGCGAGGGGACGCACGCGCTGAACGATGGCGTCGTGGACTGGGGTCGCGCTGGGGTGCACGCGTGGACAACGGACGAGGCGCGCGATGTGTAATATCCCGATATTTTATCGGTATAAATTACGTTTAAATCCGATATAGTAACGTTATTGTTTATTATTTTCGGAATTAATTAAGTTCAGTCGAGATTACCGAAATCTATTTTCGACGTACCGTTTACGTCCGAAATAATTTTGGTAATTAAGTATTATATTTAATTAATAATTAAACATAAAGTTAGTGGTTAATTCGCAATTAATCTCCATTAAGCCCAAAAGCCGTGTCATTTGGGAGATATTTTTCCCAATTAGCACCAAATGGCCGTGAGCTTTCCTTTGCCCAAAGGAACTCAATTTCCTCCTCAAACTTGCTAGTTGCGTGGCCAATTATGGGGCAACTTAGTCATCTTAATCCTCTTCAAATTGTGACATTTGGAAGGTAAAAAGAAAGCCACATCTCCCTTAGGTCATTCATTTCCTCCCTCACGGCCGAATATAAGGAGTGTTTGTACAAGAATTTTTCCCCAAAAATTCCTATAAGGCACCCAGCAAATTCAGCATAAAACTACTCCTTTCAGCAGCCATTAAATCCCAGTAAATTCCTTAAGTTCTCATCGTAATCGCTCGGCCCAACGAGAAGCATAAGCGCACGGCAAGTAAGGACCAAGGAATCACACCTATTTTCCGTTTTCCGTCGACCGATCGGAAAGGTATTTTCTTCTTCAGCTTATGTGCATGTTGATAAGATTAAGTTAAGATTACATGTTCGATTAATGGTCGAGAATTTCAGATTAAAACCGTACCTAAGTACGTGTATGCCTAAGTAATTTTATCACCGAACGAATTTCGACTCCCTCTGACAACTTTCGAACCATGATTGCCTAAATGTTCAGTTTAGTCTAATTGATGCTCAATATGATCAGATTGCTGAGTAAATATGAAGAAAAGTCGATGAAATGGCCCCCAGCCGACGCCCCCTTGCCTATCGCGCGTAGCCTCGGGCAGCCTCGGGCCGAGACTTGTTACTTCAGTATTAATCATGTTCTTCAGTGTGTTTAAGTCTTAAATTGTTTCAGTATATTGATCATGTTAGGAGGTTCTGAAGTTGTCAAGTAAAGAGGTCGTTCGGCCGAGAGACGGCATATAGCCGTCGGCGGCGTACGGGCGTTCGCCGCGGCCCTTGCTTGTTCGATATGCGTTCGGTGTATCTTCAGGTCAGGTTTGATAAATTTATTCATGTTAAGTTCAGTTAAGCTAAGTTGGTCGAGTCA